AAATAATGAAGTAAATGAAAAGGAGACTATAGCTACATTGAAATAATTTGAGAAATGAAAAAATTAGATCTAAGTCAAGGAAGCAAAAAGATAAACTCTAATTATATTTTAAGTAATTCATTCATCAATAGTGTATTGCCAAATCAAAGAACATTTATCTCCATGAGGAGAGGGGCAATTTTTAAACATTTAATTATTTCAATTTGACTGTAAATATTTGGCAATTAGTTTTTTTCAAAAATTTTGAAATACTAACAAATTATAAGAGTTTCAGACTTTTATTGCTATTTTATTTTTTTAAATGTTGGAAGGAGCCAACTAAATTTGCAAAGGTGTTATCTCACCTAGAAAACAGGATCATATGGGGAAGAAAGTATACAATTTTTCTAGAAAAGTACCACCTATCAACCAACATGTGGGGAAAAAAACTTATTCTTAGAACCATAAACAGAGATAGAAGAAACGAAAAAGAAAATCATAGTATGTTTTTTCTTTGATTTAATTTTTTTTCTCAGTCCAACAATAATCAGAAGTATCCTATATTTGATTTGCTTGGCCATGAGTTGCAAGGATGCTTATACTGTTACTGTTCATCATACACAGCTGTAGCATACCTGACAGTCTTCATATACTGATAACAACTTACATAATCAGTCTACACAGCAATTTCATTATAATCACGTCACAATTACGCAACATCACGGTACTTTGATCATGTTGGCTTACCATGAATATAGGGTTAGCGGAAGACATGGCTGAAAACTTTATCAGGATGGAAGATGTTGAACCTTCACCAAGAAAAGAAGTCACATTAGATCATATTTTACGTTAGATCGTACTTTATCTTTGTTAAACTGAGAACAAATAATTAAGAAGCTGGTCGGTGGCGCTTCGACTTACGTCCTTCCATAATACAGAATATTCTAGATGAAGACCTGAAATGTAAGCAACCAATAAATCCCCGATTAATTTCTCCTTAAATCACAGGCGGATCTACGGGGGCTTTTGGGCTGAAGCTCCCCACCCCTCCCCAAATGGTAAAATATAACCATTATACAGAAAAAATATTAAAAACTATCTCTTAAAGTATTCTTGTTCATGTAATTACATTTAATAGGACATCAGGAACCACTTAAATACCATTTCATATAGGTAGTCAATTTCTTTCTTTTTTTTTTCAAATTAATTATCGTTATATGTATATGACGAAAAAAAATCTTTCGGGCTAAAGCCCCCTCCCCCCCAAAAAAAATTAAATCCTGGATCCGCTATTGCCTTAAATTATATCTGTGAATAACAATATCTATAACATTTTGGGAAGAAAAAAAAAACACCCTCTTTTCCTTAGATATATTTAGGAACATGTATATGTATATCAGGGCAAAAGTGAACAATGTTTTTTTTTATTTCGAAATCTTAGGATAAATCGATATTTGAGACCGGTGGTTTCTGGGTGGACATTTCAAAACTACTTCCCTCCACAGCAGACAGTTTCCCCACAAGTAGAAAGCGTTAAAGATGCTAATTGTATTCATTATAATTATTAAGTTTATTGATACGGTAAAAAAAATTAAATTAAAATGGAATTAACTTTTGACTCTAGCTGTTGAGACACCAACTTAAAAGAGTGCAGACCAGGTAAGGTAAACTCACTGTTCACTCTCTCCAACGCATATTAAGAAGCCACTGTCTGTTGATTTCTATTTCTTTTTACTAGTGTCAAGTAATTCTATTTTTCTTTTATAAAGCTACAGTGGCTCCGCGCTCACTCTCATACATGCGAAGGTACCAATCATCCCCAAGGTCGATGGCACATAAAACACCTCCCCCATCCCAAGATATTTTGTTGCTCTTTTCTCCTTTAAAACAGTGGAAGCGAAAGTAGAATTTAAAAAGTCTTACAATTAGATTATCTACGCTCATTAACGGATCCAGGATTTAATTTGAGGGGGCTTCAGTCCGAAAGTTTTTTTTTAATAATTATATTAAGATAATCACTTTGGAAGAAATAAAGTGACTAACTTCCTTATATGGAATGCTCTTTAAGTTCTATTAACTGTAATTAGAGGAACAAGCATACTTTTATAATGTTTTCCATAAAAAAATATTAAATTAAATTAATTTAAAAAGGTTATATTTTACCAAAGCCGTTTCCCGTAGATCCGCCCGTGTATACAATTACACTATTTGGGATCAGTTCCATACTTCTCCATATCCTCTGGTCTGAAATTTTTCATTTCAAAAATTCATAATCCTGTCGAAATATGCCATCTCAAAAATTTTGATTGTGCAATTAGCGCCATGAAACCTCCGTGTGGAAACTATTGGATACATGGGATATTGCCTCTAGTTGGAGCCACAGGCGGATTTACGGTGGGGGTGGGCTTTCGGGCTGAAGCCCTCCCAAAATGCCAAAATGTGACCATTTTTTATATAAACAATTATTAAAAACTATCTATTGAAGTATTATTGTTCGTGTAATTACATTTAATAGGACTTCAAGAATCACCATTCCATATAGGTAGTTAGTTTATTTCTTTTTTTAAAAAAATATTATCGTTATATATATGAAAAAAAAGCTTTCGGGCTGCAGCCTCCTCCCAAAATTAAATCCTGGATCCGCTAGTGGTTGGAGCATAGATATTGAAATGAGCACCGCCATGGCTAAACAGAGCTCTCATCGTCTGTTGCATTGGCAGCATTCGAATATCACTTTTATAACAAATTACCTAGGTTCTATCAACGGCTTAGTAAATCAGCCAAAAGAAAACATTTAATGTCAAAAACAATTTAGACATTTAGATACTATGCTTTGCAACGAGTGCATCAAATATAAAATGTTTTTTAAGATTAACTAAAATAAGACAACTATAAGTTATCAAAGAGCTCTAAATTCTGTTCAGAACTATCAGTTGAATATAAGTTCAAGTGACAAAGGTTATATACATCAGATAATGTTTCCTTCAAAGAAATAACTGAGCAGTTATATTTGCAAATATTTTGATTATAAGAATATTATATTTATCAAATCTGAAAATCATCATATGCGACACGTTTCCTACACAGACGCAATTTAATATGTATAAACGCAATCATTGGTTCTTGGACTTTATGGCGAACTTGGTCTTACTAACAAGTCTGTTCACGGGCCGATCTTCGGGGGGAGGCTTTCCTGCTGAAGGCTCTCCTCCCCCAAAAAAAAAATGATAAAATAAAACCATGTTTTATTGAAAAAAATTATCTCTTAAAGTATAATTACATTTAAAAGGACTTTAGGAATCACTTAAACACCAGTTCATATAGGTAGTTAGTTTCTTTCTTATTTTCCTAAGTAATTATCGTTATTTTTATGAAAAAAAAAACTTTCGGGATGAAGCCCCCTCCCAAAATTATATCCTGGATCCACTAGTGAGTCTATTTATCAATAGAAGATGGATACATAAACAGACAACTCGATTTTCCTGGCAATTGTTAGAGCTGTTTATAACATAAGATAAATTAGGAGTAGTGATGTTACCTGCAGGTAAGAGTAAACAACTTGGCGTGATCCTTCAAATAGATCAGAACTCCTAATAAAGTTATACACTCCATAAATTTAGATATAAATATTACATTAAAAGAAGGTATTTCTTTAATGTCATAGGAACGAAGTTACTTATATTTTAACTTCTATAAACTTACTTAGGATTTATTCCTATACATGTAACATAAGATAGATAAATAGTTTATTGAGTATAGATAGATAGTTTATCTATACATGTAAGACAACAGCTATAAGTTAACAATAACATTAGATAAGAAACATAAGTTAATTTCTATTAATAGAAATATAAGTATAAACCCTATGCTAAGGCGTCATAGTTAGCTCTACACACGTAATAATCCGGTTCATCCAACTTGGCTTGAGCGAAGCAAATGTCCTTTTTTCCTCAGTGTAAACGTTGATGGACCTAGTTCATAACGAAATTGGTCCTCCACTAAATAGGAAAACGTTTGTTCAGTTCCTCGACAAAGGTCGGGTGTTCGCCTATGTGAAGAGCACAAGAACCATTGTTCTCTATTTTATAAGAGGAAGTCGTCCAATGATTGCAGATTTCATGTGCTTTATCTATCACATTTTGTTAAAATGTGTGATTGGGATAATTCAATTGAACTTATGAACCCATCCTTCCTTTATGACTTTATCAAAGCTTATTACCATTTTACATAGCTTTAACTCATGACTCCCGAAACCTACGCAAATATGCATAATGTGGTATAAAAATACCACCGAGTCAGTAAAGCAAAACATTAAAAGATAACTTGGAAAAGTAAACGACGAAGCGTTATTGTCATTTCCATTTAATGTATGTAAAGAGCCATACACTCGAATTGGGTTTGCCGGATTCCAGTGTGTGTAGTGGGTTTTAGCAGCCTCGAGACAAGAGCAACGATGGTTCAAATACAGTTTGTGCAGAATGAAATTTATTTCGCAATCCTCGAAGGAATGAATATTAAACTAATCACACTAGAATTCGTCAGTTACCTGCAGGATAACCCGTCCTGTCTGCCAAATTGGACAGCTCAAGAATGTTAAACCCAAATAAATAACGTATTTACGATACTATTTCATGTGCGTAATCGAAACATTTGATCCAAGTTTCATTAAAAACATAGATTATATGTTCATCAAAGAACAGGAGACTTTTCTGAAGAATGTTTGGTAGTTTTAGTATTTTCTTGGAAACGAAAATGAATTCGAAACTTTTATTAACAAAAGACTAAAACCCAAATCATGGAAATACTTCTGAACCTCAGGTAATGATGTAGAAACTGCAGTTTCAATGACTTAAGTTGAAGTAGAATACAAATCAATAAGAAATAAAATTATTATGGCCATTGATTTTATCAGCCTTAGAGGAGAAAGGATATCTAATAATTGTGCAATTAAATTAATGTAGTCATAGTAACATATTTAGTTTACATTTGTCTCTACATTAAAAAAATATCTTTACTTACAGGGATATTGAAGGTGTTGACCATGGACGTAAAATTTATGTTTTATTTAATACAATACTAAAAAAAAAATGTTCCGTAAAAATGAATAATGTATAAAAAAAATATTTACGACAAATAAAATAATGAAAGATGTATCACATAGAATAACCTAATTTTCCAAAAGTAGCATTGTAATTATTGCTATGCTTGCTGAACTGCGTTAGCTGCTCAACAATCAGAGCTAACAAGTCATTCGTATAGGCAAGATGGCAGAAGGGCAAGATTCTAAGAAGAAAATTAATATTACAGTTAAAACTACGAAAGATAAGAAAACTTTGGAAGTTGAAGAGGATACCTCTATTAAAGATGTATGTAGTTTATCTGGTGAATAAGTCATTTTAATTTATCCGATTATGTTATTACGTATTTTTAATGCCGATTTGTCTAGAACATGTTAGTGTCGTTATATAGTCAATGACTTATATATATTCATTAGCAATAGGAATACATAATTTTTTGTGATTTGATTAGTTATGTTCCAATTCTAGTTTTAATTTTAATCTAGACACTGTTATCAGTATTAATTGAACTTCACTATCAATATCACTTATTCTTTTAAAGGAAGGAATTTGTTGGATTGCTTTTAACTGACTTATTAATTTAACTGATGTACAGTTTTTAGTAAGAATTTGACCTAAAATTGCCTGCTTTGTATAAAGAATGTATAGTTGCAATCTTTAGTCATTCTTATGTTATGTCCTGGAAATAGTGTAATGTTGCAAGGAATTGTGTGATAAGATAACTTATTAACATTTTTATTCAAATTGACAAGTCATTATTACATTTTTGAAGTATTTTTTATTGTTGTAATTGGATCAATTCTATAACCTTACTGATTAGAAATAAAAGTGGTAAATCCTAGTTTTTTTTTATCAATTTGATAATTGAATTATTGTTTTAAGTGCTATAAATCAATTGTTCTGTTATAATTATTTATTCATTTAAGTTAAATTGTTTTATATTTGATTTTACAGTTCAAGGAAGTGATATCCAAAGAGTTCAATGCTGAAATTCCGCAGATATGTTTAATATTTGCAGGGAAAATTATGAAAGACAACGAAACCCTAGCACAACATAATGTCAAAGATGGTGTGGTAGTTCATTTAGTTATTAGGTCCAGTAATCAAGCCCCGAACAATCAAACTGCCTCTCAGCAACGACCACAACAACAGAGTAAGGAATATACTTTTACTGTAATACATTTTATCAGATATTACCAATTATTATTTGTGTGTGTATTTACTAACTTCAGTGAGTCAGCTCTAGTATATATTGAGTCAGCTCTTGTACATACCAAATTATTAACTTTCAAATTTTTATTTGCATAATTGAACTTAATTAGATATTGGTGTTGCAATGTGTAAAAATATTTTCTGTCAATTGAATATCGTATGAAAACATTATTATGACATTTGATTTTCTTATTTACAATTTTATTAAGGATTGACAATTCTTCTGTTTAAAGAATGACAGTTGAGAATTAAGTTTTGTTTTTAAATTGTAATAAGAATTTTGGTAATGCTTCGTCAAAAACTAATGTAGAAGTCAATATTAACTTAGTTTTAGTGTGAGTCAGAGTTGAGAATTCAATGATTTTAGAAAAAGTATGTGTATATAAGTTGTAATTAATCTAAAAATGAATTATTTGTAATAAAAGTGGTATTGATCCGATATTTGGTTGCTGAGTTATTGATGAAATATAAAGTGAAGATACGAATCATAGGTCTTCTCTCTTTCTTGTCTTGTGCTCCATTTCCTGGTCAGCAACATAAATTTTCTTCCTTACTAACATGAGGATGTTACAGAAGTAGAACCCACTATTTCAGTGATATTAGATTGATAAATATTTTGAAGTGTTTCTTAGGGTTCTTTCTTGTCAATACTGATTATAAGAACTATATTTTTTCAACATTTTTTTAATATAGTTTCCTGTCTTTGCTCTGCAATTTTTGTAATAACATTGAATTTGGATGAATTTTTTTTTAGTTTTGAATACTATAATTAGTGTATAGGAAGAAAAAACTTAAAAACCAAGCCCAAAAATTAATATATTTTTATTGCTATCTTACCCATTGGCCTTTAAACAGTACTTTTTAGAAAGTATTGGGTTGGCAAATAAGTCCTTTCAGTTATTCTGTTTATTTTTATGTCACTATGATACACTTCTTATCTGATGCATTAATCCCTAAGTTGGATTGTAATATGTCAACAACTATATCTGTTAACTCTTGTTGAAACTAGCTTAGTATTGCCTTTGCTATTGCACTGTAAATATGGAAGAAAACATCATTCATTAAGGGCATGTTTTGTTGTATTATTTTAAAAAAGATAAGCATACTGCAGAAGTTCATATAAAAATTTACAGTGTTTATAGGGATGATGCCTTAACCAAACGCACCTGTCAAAATTGTTTTGCCATATTTCATTCAGGAAATTTTGACATCAATGATGCTCAACTGTCTGTTTCCCCACATGAAATTGATATGAGCAATGTTAAGGCCATTGTTGATCAAAATCCACCACCCAATCAGTGCGAGAGATTGCTATGGCCCTTAATGTTTCCCACAAAAGTGTAGAAAACAATTTACACAAGCTTGGCTATGTTTTCCAGGCTCAATGTTTGGATCCCTCGCTCTCTAACTGAAGTCAATTCGGCAACGAGCATTTCTTTTTGTGATTCAATATGGAAACAAACAAAACGACCCATTTTTGAAAAGGTTGGTAACAGGAGATGAAAAATGGATATTTTAGGATAATGCAGTCTGTAGAAAATCTAGGGAACCTAGTAGTGAGATTCCTAGAAGAATGTCACAACCTTCTTAGATTGCATCTAAAGAAGATAATGCTTCCCATATGGTGGAATTTCAAGGGTGTTATTTTCTATGAGCTATTACCATCAGGACAAACAATTGATTCAAATCTATACTGTTCATAATTAACAACATTGGATCAATCGATTAAAAATAAACTCACAGATCTGGAAAATTGGAAGGGTGTTGTGTTCCACCAAGACAGCGCTAGACCTCGCACCTCTTTGGTCTCTCACAATAAATTTTTGAGCTTTCTTTGCCCTACCCTCCCTATTCACCAAACCTAGCTCAAAATGACTACCACTTATTCCGGTCTCTGCAGAACTCCAGGAATGGAAAGAAATTCAAAAAGAAAGAGGACATCAAAAACCACTTGGATCAATCAGTTTTTTAACAATAAACTCCAGACATTCTATGAACATGGCATTATGCAGTTAGTGGAAAGATGGGCAAAAATCATATTAAATAATGGTAAATATATAATAGAATAAAATAAATTTTATGTCTATAATGCATTAAGTTTTATTTCGAGAGAACAGCTGTTGATGTTAAATAAGGTGAAAGGTTAATTTAGTATTGTCTTCCAAAAAAGTGTTAATTAAGTGTTAATACCTAATTTTTGTGTAACAAAAGTGTTTTATCAAGACAAGATTGCTAAGGACAAAACACCAAACAAAGATTGAGCGGATTTCACCGCCAACAATGGTGGAATCATCTCAAACTGAGGTAAGTAACATGAACTTTAAAAACAGTGATATAAACAATGAAGACGGCTCCTGGGAACTGGTTATTGGTCGTAAAAGACCTATGATAGATTCGAGCGAGCCAAGAGCTCAAAAAAGACCGACAGAATCTATCCCAACCTCGAACAGTTTTCAGGTTCTAACCAACATTACTAATTTACAAACAGAAGAAGTTAGAAGAGCTCCTCAAAACAATAAAACTCCACCAATTTTTATAAACGGTGTTGAAAATTACCATGCATTAATCTCATTTCTAGAAAACGAAACGGGTCCTAATATGTTTAAAACTAAGTCTACATTGAAAGGTGTTACTGTGTACCCAGAAAATCCTGACGTTTATCGAAAATTAAATTCTAGCCTGCGAAATAAAGGCGCCGACTTCCATACCTACCAACTTCCACAGGACAAATGCCCAAGGATTGTTGTTAAACATCTTCACCATGGAACACCAATCGATATCATTAAAGAGGAATTTAAAAAATTGGGTTACGAAGCCACCAATGTAGTTAACGTCATATCTAGATTCAAAAAACCCCTTCCTATGTTCTTTGTGGACATTACAAAAGAGACATTTAGAGAAGAAATTTTTAGTATTGAATTTCTTTATTATTCACATATTAAAATTGAGGAACCGCGTCAAAAGAGAAATATTCCTCAGTGTGTTCGGTGCCAGCAATATGGGCACACTAAAACCTATTGCAACCATCGACCACGATGCGTAAAGTGCGGCGAATATCATGAAACCAGCTCATGTTTGAAAACGAGAGACACCCCCGCGAAATGCGCCAACTGTGCCGGTCAGCACCCCGCTAATTACAGAGGCTGCCAGACGCTGAAAGATCTTAGGTTTCAGCGCAATGCAAGAAATCGTCTTCAGCGTTCCACAGTAGCAGAGCCAGCGCAGGGACCTCCAGGCATGCATGAATTCCCTCCAATACGGCAACGTCACAACCAAGGGGAACCACAGATCATCGCAGGACCTCCGCAACAACAAAACCAAACATCATCTAGTTCAGCACCCTCGAACCAGAAAACATGTACAGGTACGAGGAGAGGCATTACCCAACTGATACCTCCAGTAGATAATGGCTCTTCTCAATTATTTAATATAATTAATGGATTAAATAACCTAATCCAGCCCCTTTTCATTCTTCTTCAACAACTGTCACAGGTTACACAGGTCTTGTGCCCAAATTATGGCCCACAATAATTTAACTGTAGGCTCCTTGTCAGTTCTTCTATGGAATGCCAACGGACTGAAACAGCACAGTACTGAACTCGACTTATACTTGCACGAAAAACGAATCGACGTAGCACTCATTACAGAAACACACCTGACATCCCGATCAAAAATTTACATCCAGGATTACACAATTTACAGAACTGATCACCCAGATAAAACTGCACATGGAGGAACAGCTATACTCGTCAAAAATTCACTGAAACACAATCCCATAGACTTACCCATTACACCCGACATACAATCGACAGGAATAACACTATACACTAAACACTACACTATAACATTTGCCTCAGTTTACTGTCCCCCTAGGTATAAGCTTACACCCACGATGTTTTCTGAGTTCTTCAAACGCCTCGGAAGATGCTTCATCGCAGGTGGAGACTATAATGCTAAGCATCAAGGCTGGGGCTCAAGGTTGTGTACTCCAAGAGGCAGAAATCTCTGGTCTGTCCTCCATGAACTTTCATTAGACACTGTAACACCAAATTCACCAACTTATTGGCCCACCTCCAGACGCAAAACTCCCGACTTACTTGATTTCTTTATTACAAAAGGACTAAGAACCGTACCATTTACCGTCAATGCAACCTCCGATCTTTGTTCTGATCACTCCTCAGTGCACATGGTTCTCTTCGATGAGCCTTCCGAAACACAAAAAAGACCTAGGCTCATAAAAGGCTGCATGGACTGGGACGCATATAGAGACTATTTGAACACCAATCTTTCCGTTCCAGGTTCAATTAAAAATCATGAGGAATTAGAAGAAGCTGTTGAAAAATTCACAAAAAGCATACAAGATGCAGCATGGGCCTCATCAACATCCAGGCCACAAAAAGCAGCGAACTTGCCCCATTATCCAATGTACATAAGGGACTTGATTAGAGCAAAGAGAAGAGCACGTAAAGTATGGCAGACTAACAGACTTCCTTCAGACCGACAAACTTTTAACAGATTGAACAACGAACTTAAAAGACATATTCAAAAATTCAAAAGCACAAACTACGACAATTTCATTAACAACCTTTCGACGGACGATGGAAGTTTATGGAGACATACAAGGAATCTTTTAAAGCATCGTGAGGTGTCAGCACCCCTACGAAGAGAGGATGGCTCTTGGGCTGTTTCGGACGAGGAAAGATCTGAACTCTTTGCTAACCATCTTTCCACTGTTTTTAAACCACATACAGACTTAATTAATACAGAACACGATATTTTTGTACATAATAACTTAGACATACCGCTACAGCTCACACTACCACCACCTCCTTTCACACCATCACAAGTTGCACAAGAAATTAGACAATTGCCCAAAAGAAAAACCCCTGGTCATGACTTGATAACTGCTGAGGCGCTCCAGCAAATGCCAAGGAAAGCTCTAGTGTTTCTTACCACAATCTTCAATTGCATTCTCAGGACCACTAAATTTCCTATACAATGGAAATACTCACACATAACCATGATTAAAAAGCCAGACAAAGACACTAACAACCTTTCTTCATATCGACCGATTAGTTTACTTCCAGTATGTTCTAAGTTATTCGAAAAACTATTGTACCCACGACTATTACATATACTAACAGACAGACAGATTATTCCTGACCATCAATTCGGGTTTCGAAAATTACATTCAACAACACAACAATTGCACAGGGTGACTGACTACATCTCTACAGCACTAGAGCGGAAATTATATGCAACCGGAGTATTTCTGGATGTCGCCCAAGCGTTCGACAAAGTATGGCATCAGGGGCTTCTCTTCAAGCTTAAGACCATACTTCCACATACTTACTACTTAATTCTCCATTCCTTTCTCTCAGATAGATTTTTCTCCGTTCGACATGGCCAAGGTCTATCCTCAATTCGATCAGTTTTAGCTGGTGTACCTCAGGGATCAATCCTAGCCCCACTACTGTACATCACATACACACACGACATTCCTCAAAGTATCCACACTCTTACAGCAACCTACGCAGACGACACTGCTATCATTACCAGGCACGACAATCCTACAGAGGCATCACTTAACTTACAACATCACTTACAAATTATACTCGATTGGTGTAAACTTTGGAAAACTAAAATAAATTATCAAAAGTCACAGCACATCACATTTACTCTAAGACCAGAAACATGCCCTCCTGTATACTTAGACAACATACCGATTCCACAAACAGACAGAGTACAATACCTAGGCCTTACGTTCGATAGGAGAATGACATGGGGTCCACATGTGAAGAAAAAACGAATCACATTAAATCTAAGACTAAAATTGTTACATACACTGTTAAGACGACCTTCCAAATTAAAAGCAAGACAGAAACTAAGTATTTACACGTATCTTTTGAAACCTCTTTGGACTTACGGACTACAAATATACGGAATTGCAAAACCAACTCACATAAATAAACTTCAAACTTTTCAGTCTAAGATACTACGACTAATCACTCAAGCACCATGGTACGTAAACAATCACACTTTGCACACCGACCTACACGTTCCGACAGTCAATGAACACATACGAACGTACTACAAACGATTTCATAACATGTTAAACGGGCACTCCAACCAGCTGGTAAAAGAAATGGCCACAACTAGTATGCCGGAGAACTCCAGAAGACGACTGAAAAGGGTCTGGATGAGGGATCTGCTTAAATAATGTTAGTAAATAAAAGCCATGGAAGGGATACCGCTGGGTATTGCTATTCCTCATGCCTATCAAGCCGTTTTATTTATTTATTTTTTTATTTATTTTTTATTTTATTTTTCTCTCATTACTAAGCCAGCACATCTGCTGATTGTCAATAATAATTGACAGGTGCGGATAAATAAATGTAAGTGCAAAAAAAAAAAAAAAAAAAAAGTTTTATTTCACCCTGAAAAACCGAAAGGACTTATTTGCCAACCCAATACTAAACTCAAGACCTCCCAACTTTTCATGGGTTATTGTGGTTTTTTTTTTACTACTATCATAAATAATATTATTTACAGGTTTTAAAGGACACTATGAACTTTAAAAAATCAAGTAAAGAATAAAAAAATATTAGATTATATCAAAAAATAATTTAAATGTTACAGTATAATGTAAAAGTAATGTAAGACAATTAATAAATTATAAAATTAAAATAACATAAAATTTAAAAAATATATATATTTAACTGTTTATTGAAATATGAGCTAACATCATATTAAAGAAAAATGTATAAGTCAGTTATCATATGAAAAGTGCAAAAAGACGGGAACAATTCAGTGAATAAATCCCGTGCACAGAGGGTTGACGAGACCTTCAGTACCCCACGCTCACAAGACCTGACCTTGATTCTGGGTCCGCGCAACTAGATGGTTAAATATCTTTCTTCGCCCTAATAAATTCAAAATACAAGCAGTATTATAGAAACACATTTATTTGTGTATAGAGTATGATATTATCTAGGTCTACTTAACGCACACAATTGCTATACACTTTACCATAACTGGTGAAGTAACAGTTTAATTGATAAGTAATTAACTTGCCTCACCGGAACATGTACCTTCAGTGAAACAATTAATGGATTGATTAATATATAACTATTGCTATATATTATAACTATAGATAGATTGATAGATAACTATCACTAAAATTTTACTGACCCAGCATTGTATACGCTGAGTCATTGGGTTGATGCAAAAGAGCAGGATTATTGGTTTGTTGCTCTCCTATTTATTTTATAAAGAAAAAAAACATTAACAACAAAAAATTGTGTTTTTGTTTATTTTAAAAAAATAATTTTTTTCTTTCTATATTAACTAAGGTGTAAAAAAAAAAAAAAAAAACTGGGCTATTCTCATTTGCTTACCCTTTTAATTAATTATAATATGCTGATTGTATGAAATATTTTAATTTTTAAAATCTCAATGATATGGTAACCAACCTTAATGGTTACTATTCACTTCATTTTAAGTGCATGCATCACCAATTGTATCTGTTAACTATACTTTCTTTATAATATTATAGGGATAAACATGTTTCTCCATTATCAGTTATACTTTAGCGATATTAAAGAGAAGGAAGAATGACATTTAATATGGGAATTTTTTTTCGAGTTAGAAGTCTCTACTTAATTACCCACACGATACAGCATCATTTCTTTTGATTTTTCTTCAAGAGACCATACAACTAGAGACTACTGAAGTGGGTTCACCATAAAACTCATCTCTCTATGTTAAGAATGGAATTCTGCCCATTTGTACATATATATAAAATATTTTCAGATATAGGAGTGTAATTTTTTTTAATCTCACTAACTAAGCACTGTGATTCTCCTGAATATTTTGTATTTTTTTAATGTATTTTATGGTGGAAAAATTGTTATTATGTTAGGTAACATTTTGTTTTTTAAAAAAAACCTTTAGTCATTATGAGCTACTCATTCCATTTCTCCTGAATTATTGATTGTTTATTAGAATTGTAAATCGCTTTGTAATAAATTAGCAGTCTTGCAGATTGCTAACATGTTAAGCAATTCTTTTTATATTTATGAATTTCAAATTTAGTTATAAAGGTCTATTGTGATCATAGATTCCATTAGTCTCCTTTATGGGTTTTTGGCAGAAAAGGATGTTTAATGTCTAATAATAAAACATTGAAATAATTCAGAAGAAAAAATTTCTGTATTTATTCTTCTTCTAGTTCTCTGTTTCTCGCATGATTCATCTTTTTCTGTTATGTCTTTCCTCGTGCTGTCCGAACTTGGAAATATAACATGCAATGATGAGGAACTTGAAGTCATGAATGAGTTCTTCTACCATCATGGGACTGTGATGAGCAGGAATGGAAAAGTCCAACCAAAAATATGCCACAGAATTGAAATAGTTAAAAGTACATACTATTCTATTGAATATAGAAAAGCGAAAGGTCAATAAATATGTCAAGGTCCGTATTTATACCTGTTCTGCTGGTTAGAACAGAGATCAGAGTCCTCCCAGTCAACGAATGGAACTGAAAAACTGCAGCAGAAATGAAATACTTGTGCAAAGTGGCTTCCAAAACGTGCAGGCATAGGATGTGGAATGAAATTATAAGGGAAGAATTAAATACTCCTGCAATCAAGAAGATGCTGAAGAAGACACAGTTGGGATGATATGTGCAGAAAAAGCCCTGATTATGACGCAATTTTATAGAGAGCGAGCATTTATTTATGTTTCAGAAAATGCTTCTGCAGTTAGCAATGATTTTTATCCTCTCAATTTCCTGAGTGATGTCATTTCCCGCAGCTATCAGGGATCCCAGGTAGACAAACTCGTCCACTTTTTCAAACTTACAGGAGCCAAACTGCACATTATCTGCCAAGATACCAAACTCTGAGATTAAGAGGATAAAAATCATTGCTAAGCATTTAAAAAAAATGTTTACAAGTAAAGTTAAGTAATGCGCTTGGCTACTTGTCTGTAGAAAAAAAAAAAGAATTTACATTTTTTATTTAAGTGAAATAAAAGTAAGTCTGTTAATAATTAATCAATAATAAATTTATTGATCTCAACAAATTTTCTGTCAATACTCAGCAATCAACCTGTTAACTTCAGCAAATCTTTTTGTCTTTTTGATGGATCAAATTACAAACTATTTTTTTCATTTCATATTAAATCGAAGAAAAAAAAAAAAGGAACCTAAAGAGAAGTTTGAATTAATTAAGTTTAAGTGTACTTAAAATACTACTAAACTTAAAAATTGTATTTTTGTGGACCTTTGAAGTGTTATTTACTTGATCTAATGTTACTACGTAGGATATAAATATTTAAATTAATTTTTATGTTAAAGCATTATTCAACATATATATGTGATTTCATTAATAAACTTTCTTAAATTTTGTGTAGTGCTTTATCTAGTTTTATGATAAAAAAAAAATATATATAAACATTATCTTTTTAGGCGCAACTTCGGCACCAGCTGGAGGATTCAATAACATGATGGGTGGTATGCCAGGCTTTGCCGGTTTAGGAAATTTGAATCTAATGGAACTCCAACAGCGAATGCAAAGGGAAGTGATGGCTAACCCAGAGACGTTGAGGCAAATAATGTCAAATCCTTTTGTACAGACGTTGATGTCAGATCCAAACAACATGAGATCATTATTTATGTCAAATCCACAGATGCAAGAGTTAATGGAGGTGCTTCTTCATTACATTCTATTAACTGTTTCTATATTTTAAGCCTTAGTTATATTCTTCAATGCTCTTTTAGATGTTGATATACATAATTATATATTTTAAATAATATTTAATATTTGAGTTCTACCAACTAGTAGTTTTTCAACTTTTAATATTTTAAAATATTTGTTTTTAAATAATTATTATGTATTGCATAATGAATTACTTCCATGTAATATAACAATAACTGTAATAATCCAACCGTTAATTATTGCTTGTAGTGACGTTTAATTATTTAGATTGTGATTAACTAAGATGATAAAATGATGATTATTTTTTTTATTTTTTTTTTAACAGAGGAATCCAGAAATAAATCACATGTTAAATAATCCTGAGTTGTTACGCCAAACTATGGAATTGGCTAGAAATCCATCAATGCTCCAAGAATTAATGAGAACCCAAGACAGAGCAATGTCCAATTTAGAATCAATACCTGGTAAGTAAAGTAATTTATGGTTACCTAAAACATTCAATTCCGAAATAACCAAGTCCAGTTTCATAAATTTTAAGGGCTTGCTCAGAAAATAAATTTATTATAAATACAGTTTTTGGGGGGAATTTAGCTACAAAAAATTGTCTAGTTTTGGAAGAAGTACTCCACGAAAAAATGGAAAAGTACAATGTGAATTGGGAAAGCTCAGTAGAAAATAAATAGTACTAATATCACTCACTAATTTGGAATAGGTAATTTTATCCATGTTGACAATTAATTTATTGTTCATACTTGAATATTTACCTAGACAAATCTCGATAAAATTTTATTGAACAACAAGCTTGCCGCTTATAGTGTAACTATGAATTTAACTTTTTGGGTGAGACAGTTTATTTAAAGAAGTTTTTGAAGTGAAAACTTCTTTAGGAGAGTTTAGCATTTCTTTTTTGTGGAGAGTAAATTAGACTGATTGAGCCTTCAGATCTCCGAAGTGTGATGCTTGGGCAAAGTCGGCTGCAGTAAACTAATTTAGGTGTTTTTGTATATGGACTAAAATATCTCAAAACCAAAAATCGAACCTGCATATTGTTAGCAAGCTGTTATTTTTAATTTATATTTCATATTATTAATCTCACCATGTTAATGATTTCACTTCTATCATGTGGTGGTCTTAAGCACATCTTAGTAGTTTTTTTTTATGAAAGATTTAGTTTGTTTTGAAAGGAATTGTTTCACTTCATAAAAATTAAAAAAAAAAAATATCTTAATATTTTGAAATTAGCCAGTTTTGGAACTTCTTCTTTGTCTTTCACCCTTGACTCCTTTCAGTATCAACGTTTCACCTTTGGCTTTTTCGTCGTTCTTTTTATTTAACTAATGTCTTTCTTGGATATCCTCTTGGTCTCATGCCCCTTAAACAATATTTTATCATCTTTGATGGGTCTCTGTGGCTAAACCATTTCAATTGTTTCCATGATAGAGCACATCTTAAGTTTTGTTCATTTCTTATACAGTTTCTTGATGATTTTCTATCTATCCTTCTTAGATAATTTATTTACACTTTGGTGATTTCACTTCAAAGTTCGTCAGTTAATACTCCAGATCTGCACCATTCAAATGAACAGGGGGTCCAATTGTCTGTTTTTGGAACTGAATGCTTCAATTCATAAGTTATTGTTGCGTCTTGCAACAGTCATTTTTTAAGCCTATGGCAATACCAGCCGTCTTTCTCATAGCACCACTATATGATAAGATTTCACATACATATGTGTTAAAATGCCTTTTGTGGATGTAGCCTTAGTTGAACAATATATTTAGATTAGAATCATTCTCTCTCCTAACATTAAATTTCTGCTGTTATAGATTCCTTTTGTGTGTTTATGATGACGTATTCAAATTTTACTGTTTAATTAATTTTTTTTATTGTATAGGGTGTCTTAAAATTAATGCAAGATTTAAATTAAATACAAAACACAGTTCTTTCTTCTTTCGTTTTCTTTTTCTTCGTCAATTTAACAGCTGGTAGGTTAGGATTAATATAAATGGAAATTATACAAGAACAATGTGTTTTCATTGTTGAAAAATATTTTTAAAATAATGAAAGTGGCGGCTACAGTTCAAAAATTCGTACAAAATATTGTCGGAATAGTAATTTAAACTTTATCAAATGTGAAGATAGTGGTTGAGAAAGTCAAGCAGGCTGGATAAATTGTTGATGTTAAACACTAAGTGATGACCAATATTTTAAAAATAATGAAAGTCTTGTGGTCACTTGTCTTGTTTTGATATTGACACTTTAGCGGCTTGTTTTTGGATGACCAGTGTTTTTTAATATCAGTAATTGATTCAGTCTGCTTGACTCTCAACCACTCTCTTCACAGTTGATAAAGTTAAATCACTATTCAGGATATATTTTGTACGAAATTTTTGAACTGTTGCTGCAAGACTTTCATTTTTTTAAAGTATTTTTCAACAATGAAAACACATTGTCTGCTCATATAGCGCTCCATTTTTATTAACCCTAAACTATCAGCTGTGAAATTAACAAAGAAAAATAAAATAAAAGAATGAAGAGAAGAATAGTTGGAGTGGTCAGCCAAAAAAGAAGACAAAAATAAATGATAATATTTATTTTTATATATGCCGACGTTTCGACCTGAAGTTCAGGCCTTCATCAGGGCTAAGAAAATAACCAGATAACAAGGTATGAGAAACTAAGTAGTGATGGTAAACAAAAAATAAAAATAAAAAATAAATAAAAATAATAAAAAATAAAAAAACAAATATAAAGTAAAATGAAATTGTTAGAATAATGACTAAGAACTAAGAGATAAATAATAATAACCGTTACAAAGTGTGGAATGATGAAGTAGGTATAATCAAAAAGGGTGACATAAGTATTAAAATGAGAAATAAAAGAAGAAAGAACTGTTTTGTATTTAAATTAAATCTTGCACTAATTTTGAGACACCCTAAATAATTTAATATTTTATCTTATTAAACATACTGTTTTAATTAATACTGGCAAAATATTAATTTTTAGGTGGATATAGTGCTTTACATAGAATGTATAGAGATATTCAGGAACCAATGTTGAATGCAGCTTCTGAGCAGTTTGGAGTAAACCCTTTTTCCAATCTTGTTTCTGGTTCTGCAGGGGGAGCAGGTTTGTTATCTTGGTAGATAAAACATTAAAATTTTCACTTTTGAATTGTGAAAGTTTGTTTAATTTTCTTTTTCTTTTGTTCCAGATGCTGCTAATAATCCACAACAAGGTCAGGAAAATGTCGAACCTCTCCCTAACCCTTGGTCTGCGAACAGTGCTGCTCCTAATCCTGCTGGGTCTGGAACAACCAATGCAGGAGGTACTACTGGAGGCGGCGGCGGTGGTATTACACCAACACCGATGGGGGGGAATCTTTTCTCCTCCGCTGGCATGCAGCATTTGATCCAACAAATGTCTGAGAATCCACAATTGCTGCAGGGCCTCATGTCTGCCCCCTACATGCAAACAATGTTACAGGCCATGGCCACGGATCCGAACCTTGCCAATAATGTTATTGCGTCAAATCCTCTTTTTGCTAATAATCCCATGCTTCAAGTGAGTATAATGTTGATCAAACTATGCTTATAATGTTTTAATAGAAGGACTTTTATTGTACTTTATATAATTTATAACTTCATTTATTACTTGATGTATTATTTATGAGAAAGAGTTATAATAGTTCTAGCTTTTATGATTGAAAAGCATTTTGTTTATTCCTTTAGAGCGATGTTTCGGGTTTCTGACCCATCATCAAAGACCATTTATTCTATTAGAGGCAACATAACAATTATTCCAAATGATTATTCAGAACATTTCTATTTATACACTGACAGGCAAAAAATTCCACCCATTTGATTTTTCATGTTTTTATCTAAAAATATTTCTGCTTTGGATTGGTCTATTATTTTTAATGAATAAATAGGTAATCTTTTTGTTTGTTTTCAATTAGGAATGTTAATATAGAGGACAATAACCCTTAATCCTTAATTCAATGAAATGATTCTAGATTCCAATGTTTACTTTCTATGGAATCAAAATGTTTATTCAGTATCATTAGTTCAATGCCGTTTCTTGAAGCACATTTGTTAGTCTGTGGCTTTTAATTTTTTCAATATTAAGTTTTAAAATGCCTCTTAGTGCTGAGAATGTTGCACTTGGTGTGGGACTTATTGATGATGGACGTTCCATTAGATATGCAGCTAATGCCATCGCAGTTCCATATGAAACTTTTCGAGACGCTGTCAGGCGTTTTTGGGAAACTGGTTCTTACAATAGAAGGTCTAGGGTAATAGAACCATGTGATGACCGGTTTTTGACTTTGAATTTTACAAAACCGGCACCTTACCGTTGTTCAAGCGATTCATCAGCTCGAAGAAGTTCGAGGTGTGCAAATTTCTGAACGTACCGCTCGGAGAAGATTAAATGAGTATGGATTAATGGCTTTTCATCCAGTAAGAGGACCAGAGTTGACCAGAACTCACAGGGTAACACGGCTTGCTTTTGCTCGAGAACACAGCCATTGGACTATGACGAAAGTATGCCGGTGGAAATTATGCCGAAGGGTCTTCAAGAAGTAGTGAGAGGAGGAAACACTTGCTACTAAACGATGATGTAATTAATTTCTTTTAGAATAATAATGGTTCGTTTTTCAATTTTTTTTCTCTAATCTTTCTTACCCAATCACATTTTGATTATTAAAGGTAAAAAAGATTATAAAATTCCATAAATACTAAGTATTATCTACAAATGCCATGTATTATATACAAATACAACTTTTTTTATACAAGTGGCAGAAATATTTTTAGATGAAAACATGAAAAAATCAAGTGGATGAAATTTTTTGCCTGTCAGTGTATAACATTTACCTAAGAGTTGATATCCCATCCGTCTCATTGTCATACAATGCAATTTTAACCATTTGTCAATTGTTTAAAAAATAAATAAAAATATATATTTGAAATGTTTTTTTTTTTTTTTCCATTGCCACATTGTCTAGTATATATAAGTTAAAAGTGTTATATAAATAGAAATGTTCTGAATATCATATTTCAAATAATTTTTATCTTGCCTCTGACAGAATAAATGGTCAGTGGTCTGTGGTCTTTGATGATGGGTCAGAAAGCCGAAACATCGTTCTAAAGGAATAAAAAAAAAAAAGTTTGCTATAAAGGATTAAGAAATTACTTTTTCAATAATAAAACCTGTAATTTATAACATTTAAGAATTAATGGATAAATCTAAGGAAAATATATTCTAAGTCAACTTTTGAAATTTTAGTTTTCAAGAAATGACTTTCAATTTTATATTTTATAGACCATACGGTTTTGATAATATTTAACGTTTTTATTTAGTCTCAAATGAGAGAAATGATGCCGACACTTATGAATCAGCTTCAGAATCCAGAAATGCAAAATTTGCTTAGCAATCCTCAGGCGTTAACAGCAATACAGCAGATACAACAAGGCTTAGAAACGCTACGGACTGCTGCTCCTGGTTTAGCAAACACGTAAGTATTTCAATTCTAAATGTATAACATTTTGTATGAGAAGGAGTTGGTGGGGGGTTGTGGTATAATAATTACGATAAACTAGCATAGTATTTTATTAGGTATGCCGACGTTTCGATCCACTTTGTAGGTCATCATCAGGACGTTACATCAGGAAGCAGTTGGAATTACCACCATCATAACTTTTTGAATTTCATAACACTCACTATAACTTCTTGTTTTCGATTTTACTACAATAGACTAAATTTTTAGGCAATTAAACAGTCTGAATACACCCAAAAATGTATGTAGTTATAGACTGGTTGTACAAAGTAGTTATCCATAAGTTGGAATAAAACTTTGCATTGAGCATGGTTCCGATCAAATAAACTTGCACAACTGTTGGTCTGGATATTGTACTTACCAAGTACTGAACACCTTTCATGGGTTGTGTTGCTAAGATAATAGAATTAAAATATTTTGTGATGAATATATTCAAAAAACGTTGAAAAATACATATATATCAAGTAATATTAAAAATAATGAAGTTAAACTGTAGCTTAATAATGATTAATATGAAAAATTAAAGGTCTCTTTCCGATTCATTGTGAAACCACAATTCAAATTAAAGATGAGATGGTGTCTACATGAGGTAAATAGGAAATTTATTCTAATGGATTACTTAATGGCATCAATTGCTATACAGACTGCTTGGTCATGACCACTGACATTAGGTTTGGAAGGGAAATCGACCCATTGAAAGCTATTCATTTTCTCTGAAATCGACCAAGTAGAAAGCAAATGGGTATTTACAAGTTTTTAGTACCTGATTAAATATACAGAGTTTGCCTCCCTCCAGATTGTAAACACCCCAATTCCAAGAGTTTTCATAAATAAAATAGTTGTAGGTTACGATGAGATGAAACTATTTACAAAGTTTCAGGCAGATGTTAATAATTCAATAAAAAGGGGTCTGTACCACAGACTAAGAACATAGTGACATTTACAGCTGCCAAAGTAAAGAGGAAAAATATAAAATCAAATAAAAAGGTTTGTTTTAATCAATTTTATTCTATAGATTTGAATATGCAACAGTATTCCAGTTAGAAATGCTGCCAATATGTCATTGTACCTTAACATTGCCTATCAATGGGATGGAAAGTAGTAGAATTACTATTTACACTGACAGCCAGGTAGCTATAGGAGCACTAAGCAATTATTCTATGGAATTAAAGGTTGTTAAGGATTGTGATGCATGCAGCCTTTCTCTGCACAACATAATTATCGAATTGGTACCACTCTGTTATCATAGGTAATTATAAAACTGATGAATTGGTCAGTTTCTATAAATATTTCTACTACACCAACCATTTGAGGCTTAAGAATTAGAGAAATTTATTTAAAAAATAAAAAGAAAAGAAATACTGGAAGAGCAAGAAACATTCCAAGTTACACCGATCAATACTGGTTACTGCAAACTGCATTACCATACCATATGTTGAAACACATGTTAACAGATTCACCTCTGTATAGGTTCTGTCATCATGAAGATGTAACAGTATACCATAGCTACCTGTTGGTGCAACAGGCTCTCAGTAGTAGATAATCTGTGGTACAAACTCTTTTTATCGAATTATTAGCATCCGCCTGAAACTTGTAAATAGTTTCATCTCATCATAACCTACAACTATTTTATTTATGAAAACTCTTAGAATTGGGGCGTTTTCAATCTGGAGGGAGGTAAACTTTGTCTATTTAATTATTTATTAAAAACTCATAAATACCCATTTGCTTTCTACTTGGATCATAAGATAATTTGATCACAAAATCGATAAAAAATGTGGTCTACAAAAATATTGGAGCATTTGTCCAATATAACCTCGTTATTTTGATAATTTGGGGTTTTAGGTCACCTTTTTGCTCAATTTTGTGATCAAATTATCTTACGATCCAAGTAGAAAGCAAATGGGTATTTACAAGTTTTTAGTACCTGATTAAATAGACAAAGTTTGTCTCCCTCCAGATTGTAAACACCCCAATTCCAAGAGTTTTCATAAATAAAATAGTTGTAGGTTACGATAAGAGCTGTCAAAGTAAAGGGGAAAAATATAAAATGAAATAAAAAGATATGTTTTAATCAATAAGATTATAAAATTAATAACAATCTTCCTTTCAATCATTTAAAATATGTGAATCTTTTTATAACCTAATAATAATTATTTCATTTTCAGTATGGGCTTTGGATTGGGCGGAGTGCCAGGAATGGATCCCGCAGGCGGGGCCAGACCTTCGGCAGGTATCGGAACTAATCCTGCTGCATCTCCTACCGCAGGAGCTAATATTCAGTCGCCACAACCTGGGCAACAACAGCAGACTGATTACCTTGCACAGCTTATGTCTAGGATGGTAGGTTTTTCAATATGAGTTGTTATTATACTTCCTGATGGCTGTAGTTGTTAACAGTGAGTTAATTGTTAATGATGTTGCTTTCCCTTTTAGATGGGCAGTATGTCTAGTAATACCAATCCAAGCCAACCTCCTGAAGAGAGGTATCGTTCCCAACTAGAACAGCTTTCGGCCATGGGTTTCGCCAATAGAGAAGCAAATATTCAAGGTAATAAGGATATTTAGTAATGTCAGGATGTTAATAATTTTAAACATTATCCATCAAATTTTTTAGAATGATTTCCCAGAACATCAAGTTTTGCTGTAGTATGCGATATATGATTTGTTGGTACGATAAGGCTTGTTAGAAAAACGTTTGTTCAGAAATAATTTGATTTGCAGCTTAAAAAAGTAATTTATATTAAAACAGTTATTCAATTACTTGAAAATTAAATTCTGTTTTACAATTTTATTTTATATTTTTAAGATCAAATAATTACCTGATAGTAGTGTTTTAAGAGGGCCAATCTAAACATTTCGGTCGAACTACTATCTTATTATTTTGAAATTGGATAAAAAGTTTTTATGGAAATGGGTAAAAAAATGTGGGTATGTGATAGTGCCAACAAAATTGTTAAAATAATATGTTTTCTGTTTTTATTTTAGGAATAAATCATTAATTAATAAAATTATTGTAATACTAATTGACACTATTAATTAGTTTCTAAATTTTTCGAGTCCAAGCAGACACTTCTTCTTCTTCGTTAAATTAACTGATATATTAAGCTAATTTGAATTATGAAGTAGAAGATAATAATTTAAAAAAAGAAATTTCATTTTTTAAAACTTTTTTAAATAATATGAATTATAGTTTAGTCAACGGTAAGGTGCGTGAAGGATGAATAAGCATTTGACTTTAGGGATTGTTTGGGGTTACTGAGTAAGTAATTATATTAAAAGGCCACCTTTTTCCAGATTTTCTCATATATCTTAAAAACTAGACGTTCCAGGTAAAACATTGTGGTATATGAAATTGAAGTTGATAAAATTTGTTTCAAGAAAGTTTATATTTATTCATATTGAATATTTAATAGTTGACCTATGCAACGGTCAACTATTAAATATTCAATATGAATAAATATAAACTTTCTTGAAACAAATTTTATCAACTTCAATTGATATGCGGTCATAAAAAGCCTATATCTATTTTATTGAAAGCCAACGTTTCGACCCGACTTTGCAGGTCTTCATCAGGGAGGTGTGTTCCTCTAGGAGTTTCACTTAGAACTCACTCAGTTCTGAGTAAAACTCCTAGAGGAACACACCTCCCTGATGAAGACCTGCAAAGTCGGGTCGAAACGTTGGCTTTAAATAAAATATTTTTACCACTATTTAGCCTTTTTATGACCACAACCCCGGACCATCTCCTTCCTTTATATTTATTCCTTTCGTATCTGCTGTAGGTTCTGTGATATCCACTAACTCAAATTGACTATTTTCGAAAAATTTATTTTGGCTTCACATTTTTTATGAAACTTGTATTTTTAAAATCTTAGTCTTTCGTTTTACAAGAAAATTGTAGAATATAGTTTTTCCTGTGGAGTTATATATATACTCTACTAATTTATCTTTTTATCTCGAAACTATAACAGATATTAAAAAAATTAATATGAACTTTCTTGAAGGAAATTTTATCAGCTGCAATTTTTCATACCACAAAGGTGTGTCTGCAATATCTCGTTTTCAAGATATACGAGAAAATCTGGAAAAAGTGACTTTTTGGGCACCTCCCACTTTAAAAGCAGAAGGGATTGGGGTGTGAACTCTTAGTATGTTTACTTCCCAACAAATAACCTATGTCAAATGCTTGTCCATCCTCCATTCACTCTACTAGAAGCTTTTTATCGTTCATTGACTAAACTATTGATTTATTCAGATAGTTCATTTAGTGTGGTCATGATTTCATTTACCACTATTTCTGGTTATGCTTAAGATCTATTATTATTTATAGAGTTTACTCATATGTTTATTTTTAATGAACAAAACTGGTGTTTCACAAGATGTAATCTCAGATATTTTATTAAATATGATTATAACTAAGTAGTACTTATTACAACAATTTAATTTTAGCTTATTACTATATTGTTTTTATAGCACTGATAGCAACTTTTGGGGACGTCAACGCTGCGGTGGAAAGGCTACTAGGCAACGGACAGCTGACACCCCAGAGCTAACCTTAACCCAGCAAAAATTGGAGTTTCACATAATATCTGCTCCCTCTTGCAGGCACCCCCAACTCTGTATTATGGTAAATACACTCATTACGAAAATTTTGTTTCTTTTCAGTTTAAATTCCTCCCATAATACCACGGTTTTTTTTCTTTTTTTTCCATTTTATATTATTGACCAGTTAATATCATTCTGTTTTATGGTTTAGTTGTGGGTGTTTTATCATAGTGAAATGTTTATGTCCATCTTTCTTTTAATTTTGTATAAATTATTACTTAATATACATCATTTTAAAAGAAAAGTTGTTATTAAATTATCTGCAGTATGTTTTAAAATTACCTTATATTGAATTGTTGGCATTATGTTTATGAATTTGTCATTATCATATTTTTATTTTGTAGTTAAATTGTTTGTTTGTTTTTTTTAACATCCTTATATAATTGTCAAATATGATACAGAATGAGATACAAAGAGCCATCTAGTTATTTGTTTTTATATTAATTGTACATAGAAACTACTTCTGTGCTGCTGATAGAATTAGACAAGACAGAACATTGTTCAAAGTAACTAGTTACATCTGGTGGTTATTAGTCCAATTGTAGGTAATGAAATTGAAAATTTAGGAATTGTTTTAAATATAACTGGTTTCTAGTTGAACTGTTAATATTTTTATTTGAGCAAAAAGTATTCCATAGTCATTTAATAACATACGAAAACATGAACTCTGACTATAAGCTTACGGAGAAGGTTGTAATATTGATCTTAATGGCTGCAAGATTTATTTCGTTCAGAAATTTTATATTACATAATTATATATTAATCTGAATTTTTAAAACATTGTCCTTAATATTTAAAAATTAAATATCTATTTATATCTTCTCTTTTTTTTAATGTATGAATGTTTAATAAATTTGTAGTCTTGTATGGATGCACATTATTTATTACTGTAGCTAGTATGCAAAATTTTGTTTGAATATTGCGATTCCAATTTTTAGTTTGGTGTAATCTATTTAGATTCCTTATGGTAACAAGCATATTTGATTTTTCAAGTTTTGACATTTTTATCACCAGATTTTTCTTCCCTCTTACTGCTTTTATCCTGGGAAATCCACTTGATTTTTCCATCTTAATATTTAGCTATAAAAAATTATTTTGATGATAGTGTATTGATAAAACAGTAAATGTTATGGTGTGTAAAGAGTTTATCAAGAACAATTTTACTGTTGATGTAATATGTTCTTTTAGTGTAATTTAGTTGCCTCATTTTGATGTACATAAATATATATATTATATTGTTTTGGTGTAATAAAATACTTGAAAATGTACATATTTTTTTTTTGTAATGATATCCTCTTGTAAAATTATTTATACAAATTATGGAACAAGTAAAATTAAAACTCTATTTGTTTTTACAAGTATGAACTACTTGGTTGTATGAATTTCATTTCATACCTAATTCCTCTAATACTGACTATTCTTCTCAAAATGTATTCTCATCCTTCCTCCTCTCATTACTGCAGTATACGTCTGTGAAGAGTTTAAAGTTTTAGATTAATTAACAATAAAACCATTTAAAATATAATAAGTCTGGGTTTCGTGAATTGTGATGAAAAATTAATAATAGTTTTTGTTTTTTTTTATGCTCTGGTTTAGAGGACATAACATTCATAACCCATTGAGGGGAATAAGTGTTCTATGATCATCTTACACAGACAGTCTACATCATTAACAGATTTTTTTATTTGTGTTAAGGAATTATTCCAATAAAAATCAATTCTATTATTTATATCAAATTATATTTAAAACAAAAATATTTGATAGGGTACTTCATTTAAGTGTTATATTTCACAAAACCACTTCAGTGGACATTCTCTTTTCGTAAAGCAAGGCTGAACTTACGAGCTTTTGTTAAAGCAACTTATTTATTAATTAGTTAACACTAAACATACAAATACTAAGAACTCGATCAAGGTTTATTATTTTATTACAATGTATCATTTTTTTGAGGAAGGAGTTGGTCCGTCCGGGGTGACGGTCATAAAGAGACTAAAATAGTGGAAAAAACTATTTTATTTATTAAAAGCCAACTTTGTAGGTCTTCTTCAAGGGGGTATGTTCAGCAAGGAGTTTCAGTTAAAACATCTGTCAGTTTTAAATGACACTCCTTGCTGAACTTACCTCCCTGAAGAAAGACCTGCAAAGTCGGTTCAAAACGTTGGCTTGAAATGAAATAGTTTTTCCACTATTTCAGTCTCTTTATTACCGCCACCCCGGACCATCTCCTTCCTCAAAAATATACTATGTTCAACTATTAAGTATTCAATATACTTTTGAATTGCATTCTTAACTGAGCTAAAGCTAAAAGATTATAGCTAACAAATCATAAATACCATTAAATAACACAAGTCTTATTTATTTTATTTGTATATGGATTTCAAGAAGAGAAAGAAATCTTCAGAATATGCCAAATGGATGGGAGAGTAAAAATAAGTTTTAAAACTATAAGTTTGAGGGAGTACTTCACAAGAAGACATTATGTTTACCTAAATTGTGTTATTGACTGAAACCTATCAATAATGTTAGTCCTCATTAGAATCATAAATTCTGGATGAAATGGAAGTGGAAAATAAAAGTTATATGGTTTCAAAAGTAATCCATGGCAGTTGCTTTTAAACATGCTAAAAAAATTTGTATGGTTTAATTCTCATGCAGTGTAACTATAGAAGGCAATGACAAGTATTTTTGTGATAATTAATCATATAATGATTGCATCTTTCCTGTACATCTGGGTTGAATAAGCCTTATGATCCATATCCTTTCTACTGAATTTGTAAGTGAAAAGTTTCAAACCATGGAACAAGGGAAAAACAGGGACCAGACCACAGTAAGTGTAATTATATATGATCTACGAATTTTCTAATTCGATTTTTGTTTGCATTGATTTTAGATGAGGAAAGAAATAAGATTTCTTGAGATGGGGGAAGGGCAGAGTTTCTGCACCATTGACATTGGGTGGGATGGCCATCCCTGAGTCATATAGTCAAATTTAACTATTTTCTTTCATATAGATTAATTGTGTTTGGGGGCGGGGTGGCCGAATAGGCTAAAGCGTGTGTAACAGCACCGCTTAGTTGCCTGGCAACCGGATAACAGAGATTTGAGATGATATAAAAAGTAGGAGTTCGCGTCCCGGTGCCGGAGGGGATTTTAAATTCCCCGCTCTCACCCCTCGGCCCGGGAAAATCCCGTATAGCCTAAAAGGCGAGGTAGTAGGGAAGAACAAAAAAAAAAAAAAAAAAAAAAAATATATATATATAAAGATTAATTGTTTATTTTAATTTTATTTCTATTCTTTGAAATATTGGAGGAGGAGGGGGCAAAGCAATATTCTTGCCTCCTCTCTATTTTTATTGAAATAGCGATCCTCCCTCTCTCCTCCTAAGTCTGTGTCTATTGATCCACTTTAATGTGATGAGATAAGACAGATCTGAGTTTCCAACCTCTCATTCTGTCCTTCATTACCAATTATTTACACTACTGACTATCAAATACTATTATATAACACTCAAATCAACTTTCTATTTAAATTTTTATATTCAGCTCAAAGAAAGAATTGCTGCTTTACTACCTAACTCAGTAAAAAACAAATTAGGGTGGAGATTTTCTTTCCAGTATTCCCTGAAAAGAGTCCTCCATAACACTTTTCTGTATTATTTGTAAATATGACCTATCATTAATTCTTAATTTACAAATATAAATAAATTTATCTTTCTTTTTTTTTTGCCTCGCCTTTATTGCTACAGAGGTTTTCCAGGGACAGGGGGGTGAGGGCAGGGATTTAAGACTCCCGGGCACCCGGACGCGAACTCCTGACTATTTTTATCTGGTTGTTTATGTATCGTGTTTCTAGGCAACGGCGGTGCTTACACACACGTCAGTCCATTCGGCTATCCCGCCCCCAAAATAAATTTATTCTGTAATTGTGTTTGTGTAAGTATGACAATAGCCCAAATACCAATCTCAAGTAGCAGTATCTTCTCCGAAAAAATATCTATATCCTCCACAGAATTGAAAAACCTTTATTTTTCCAATAACGTTGAGCTTTATTCAAGCTGAAAGACTTTGGAAGGCTGTGTCTGGGTCGTTATGGAATCATCAAGAACATAATATTTTTAGGCTTGGTCTTCATAGCCCAGTTGAGTGATAGGTGGATCCCTAATGAGGCGTCAACTGATCAAGTCGCTACGTAGGTGCATTGCATTGTGCAGTGTTCAAGCCCAACTGAAAGACTGTCCCCTTTCTGAATTAATGGGGGCCTCAGACGTTCTAACAAATCAAATAGTCAGGAGACAGTCATTTATAAGGGTTTTATTAGTGCCACTTAAAAATGACTGCGTCCTGACTATTTATCACATGTGATTAAAATACGAACGCTAAAAATTGGTCACAAAAGTGTAACTCCTTTGCTGCAATGAAGTGCCTGGTATGCGGGTTCCTCCCTAAACAGGAGGGCCCATGATCTCCATTGTTCCCGGTTGAGGATTAAATGCAGTATTGATTTATCCACATTACTGTTCGATGAAGAAATGGATATTTTTAAAACAATCCTCTGCAAGCTGGAGAATACTGATGTTTACTGTATGATGCGGACGTGAAACGTGGGAAACAATATTTTGACAATTAATTGAAGGCCGTCCTCACTCTTCCACTTCGTTCCTGCTTTCTCTTCCCCACATTCTTCCTAAATACGGCTATCAGTTACTGATTAAGGTTTAGAGTATTTTTTTCACGCTTTCTGAGACGCCGTATGTGAGGCTTTAGTCGTATCTTCGTTATAAATCTAATTTAAAAAAAATATTAACCAAATCATGTAAATCGTATCATGTATCTCTCCTTCAATATAATGAACGAATCATTATAGAAAACACATTCTTTTGCGAAATCAATGCCAGTGATCTTAGTGCACACGAGCTCTAGATAAGTCCTACAGAATGTAAACAAGAAATTTAAGTTGGGATCCACATTAAAAGGAAGGCTTCCTCTTTGGCTTCAACTGCCTTTCTCAATATCTTCCAAACTACTCATTCAATTTTCTCAAAAATCTTTATATTCGCTTTCAAATCTGTGTTATAAACTTCAGAGTAACCATCCATCAAATTCTGGCATGGAATAACAATGTTTTCCTAATCATCCGAAAATCTATCGCAATCCTTGGATAGTACCTATTTCTTTTTGTTGTCTCTAAATAGCCGCCAGCAACTCTTCTCATCTCTAATATTTACAGACGTTGCTTAGTTCATAGGATTTGTCTGGTAAGCTCGAAACAACATCCGAAACGTTAATAAATTGCTCCATAGAATCATATTGGGTGGTAACAGAATTAAGCGTTTTTTTTCCAAATATCGGAAGCACATGCTTCTATCTTTCCTGTTTCTTAGGAATCATAGCTACCTAAAAACAACCAATCATAATCCCCATGACTAGTAAAACCCATCTAGTTGAACTACTTCTTTTATGAAATAACTTTGTGAAATCTTAACTTCTCATGGAATTCCAAAATCATTACTTTTATTAGATTTAGATAAATGTTATTTTAAATAACGAATAAACAGTTTTTACTCGTTAATTACTTATATGCACGACATGATATGACCTGCCAATATTGTTTTGCCTTGAAAAAAGACAAATCATCGTCATCTAGCACAACAGTAATGAATTAATATTACACCAACATGCCATTACCATGGACCCATGTTAATAGTAATCGAGCCTCCACAGGAGAAGTAAATGAAAGTTGGTATTCTACTTGCAGAGAAAAACGGAATACATTTTCCCAAGAATTGAACCAACGAGAATTGTCTCATTTTCACTGAATTAAGGCTGAACTTATATTCCTAATATCAGCAGTTAATAAAATTAATGTCATCCTGGAACCTCAAAATTGTTATTTAAGCTGGTTAATCCTTCAAAATCCACCTTTAATGAATGCTACTACAATGCCATATCCATGGGAATGGATTTTTGCATCATCCAACTTTAAAAGATCTGATCTGCATGTATATGCATTAACTATTGTAACTCTCAGACATAGTCAATTGTATTGTAGGAGGATTACAACATTTTACTAATATAACCGTAGATCTTTACTTTCCAAGTTAGGTAATGTAAATATCCATTTAATGAATTATCATTAAATGGATATTTACATTACCTAACTTGGAAATTAAAGATCTACGGTTATATTAGTAAAATATTGTAATCCTCCTACAATACAATTGACGATGTCTGAGAGTTACAATAGTTAATGCGTATACATGCAGATAAATATGATTGACGAATAAATATATTTTTTTTTTTTATTGAGAGGTACATGTATGGACGTATGGACATAGTTTTGCCTAAAATTTCAGATGTGATAATGTAGATTGAACACAACTGCAATCTTAAACGGATTAGA